TTCATGTAAAACTAAAACGTTAGGCATTTAGGGGGAAAAAACAAAATAATAAACATTATACAGATGTCAAATAAATCAAACTGTAATTAAACTATATATTTTCAAAGTCATATAGACAGCATGATGGTTTGTGTGATCCGCGCGGTTTCACTTACACCCCTTTAATGATCAGGCTGTTTTTTTATTATTTTTATCAGCTGATAGCAGTTAAAATTATGGTAAAAAAAACTTTATCTGTGTTTGATAACTTAATGCCCAGGAAGAGCATCTTCTCTAGACATTAAATATAACCCAAATGTTTTATTATGAGCAGATCTGATGAAGGTGTAGACAAGCAGTCTGCAAAGTAAAACTTGTTTAGAGTCCAAACTCTTACTAAAGCTTTTGAAAAGAAAAAATGGTTGAATTTTGAGAAATATCCACAACAGGGGATCGAGACCTCTGAAAAATGTATATTTTCTCTGAATTCATAGAATAATGTGAAGATTCTGGGAAAAGTTGGGATTCTGAGATTAAAACGTAAATCTTTCTAATCATAATTCTGGCAGTTTTTGTGTCCTGCTGTGGAAAGTCGTGCAACATGAAGATACTGAGAAGATGCTTACAACCTGTATTTTTATTCCATCCATAAATAAAATCATGAGCTATTTTTTTAATCCAAATTTGATCCAAAGGGCCATCGTTGGTTCCAGACCCGTTCTAGAACATTCCTCTAATCTTAAAGTCATCATCAGTTTCTTCCTTTTAACAAATATTTATTTGTTCAAATATTTAATATTTATTAGGGATGCACCGATCAGGTTTTTTGCTGCCGATCACCGATACCGATATAAAAGAATGCTGATCACCGATACCGATCACGATCACGTGGATTGGCCAGAAATTTTCTACAACATTATAATGAGTGCTACAAACTACATAATCTGGGAATAAAGGAAATGTAACCTAATCTAAAATGGTCCGTATTAGGGTTGTCACGGTGTGAAAATTTAACCTCATGGTTATTGTGACCAAAATTACCACGGTTTTCGGTACTATCGCGGTATTTTTTTTAAACGTGCTACATTTTCACACAATTAAATAAACCCTGTATATCAGGAAAATATTGTCCTCAATTTGTGTCTAAATTTTGCCTAAAATGTGTTATTTTGTAATTATGTTGTTTATTTGTTTACATTTTTCCCCTTTAGTCTTTAAAATACCAATATTTGCCCATAACTTCTTATTTTATGTCTGTTTGATGTCATCATTTAAAAATATTAGATCAGATGATACTCAGTACTCAAGTAGCCTTCTAATCAGATACTTTTTTACCCTTACTTGAGCAATCCGTATATCAGGAAAATATTGTCCTTGGTTTGTGTCCTTCCAGTGAGCTTTGCAGATTTGGGAAAATGTCATCAGGCAGTAATCATTGTTAAATTCACAATTATTCTCGGGGAGAGACCAACTCTCATCTGCCCCTGGGAGCCCCGTAATGCATAGCGTCATTTCAACATGGGGGTGTCCGTGACACGGTTTATATGCAGGTAGCGGCGCTGCGGCTGCTTTATATAGCGACTCGTTGCATTCTCCCTCAACCCAAATCCTCGGATCACGCATTTTAGCTAAAACGCTAACGTTAACTTGCCTTGCGTTGACTGCAGAGATGTGGGTGATGTCACGCAGATGTGTCATGAGATATGAAGCGTTGCTGCCTTTCACAGACACTTTTTCTGCTCGTGCTGCAAACAGGATAGCCGTCCGTCCGTCTTCTATAAACTCCCTCGGCATTCTTCAAATATCTAAAATATGCCCGTACTTCCGACTTTGTCTTCTTTGAGGGATAATAAATGCCCTCCTGAGCGCTGCCGTCTCCTCCTTTGACCATTATTTCAGCTTTAGCTTCAAGAAAGTTTTGTTGTAAACAAAGCGTGCATGAGCCGCCGGCAACTTCAGCCGATGATACGGTGGCTGGTAAGGGTCACCGCGCCTACACAGCAGCCACGGTAAACCCACCAAGATAATATAGTTTTTTAAAAAACAAGACGGTTATTATTATTGTCAACTTTTTTTTTTACCGGGGTTTACCGCTACACTAGTTACCGTGACAACCCTACCTGATCGGTTTGCTTTGATCTATTTTGAAAATTCCGATCAAAACCGATAGGGGCGCTATCGGCCGATTACGATCAAATGCCGATCCATCGGTGCATCCCTAATATTTATAACTGGAATATTTGTTCCTCCCTCTCCCACTGCAGTTAGTCCTGTCCTGCAACCCTGTTTTTGCATCTTAGTGAAGCCAACCATCACTAACCTGGGGGTGGTTTTGGACCCAGAGATGCAGATGGACTCCCACATTAGCCAGGTGGTTAGATCCTGCTTTTCCCGGCTTCGCCAGCTACCAAAGATGAAGTCCATCCTGAAAGACGTGTCATATTTTCTCCCCAAGCCAGACCTGACCGTCATGTATCGGTCCAAAATAGTGTGATGATATTGTGTTTTTTGTACATAACAGACTTTTTAACAGACAAATTTGTCGCATTCTCCTACACCTCTTCACGGGCTCGCCACAGTAAATATTCTATTTGGCGAGAGATAAACTTTATTGTATTTATCCTAGTGAATCTATAATTAAACGGGTAAACTAGTAGTAGCACATCCAACATCAAAGAAAGTAAAATGTTACTATCAGGAGAGGGAGAATGTTTAAGTGGTTAGCAGCAGTGTGCTAGCCGATGGCCCCCTCCATGAGGCCACCACAGCTCAGCAGAACACCATTGTAGCTTCTTCTGGGGAGAAAAACACTTGGAGAAAAAATAAAGTTAACAGCTGAAATAGCAGGAAATAGTACAGTTAAAGAGCAGATTGTAGAAGAAAGAAACCCCTGGGTTAAACTGGTCTGTCTACTGCATAATGCTGAACTCTAACATGTGTCCTCAGGGAAGGACCTGACTGGTGTCCAGAACCTGCTGAAGAAGCACCAGGCTCTGCAGGCTGAGATCACAGGTCATGAACCTCGCATCAAGGCTGTCACCCAGAAAGGAGAGACCATGGTGGAGGAGGGTAGAGCAGGTCTGGACATGTTTCTGAGGTGTCTGCAGGTTCTGGCTCACTTTTTTTGGGTCCAGGTCACTTCGCTGGTGAGGAAGTGAAGACTAAACTGTGGGAGCTTCATGGACGTTGGGACACGCTGAAGGCCAAGGCGTCCCAGAGGAGGCAGGACCTGGAGGACTCTCTGCAGGCCCAGCAGTACTTTGCGGATGCTAATGAGGCCGAGTCCTGGATGAGGGAGAAGGAGCCCATCGTTGGAAGTCCAGACTAAGGGAAAGACGAGGACTTGGCCGAGGTATGGAAGTCCCTTCCTGAGAAACTCCAATCGCTTTTCTTTGCTCTCTTTCCAGTCATTCATAATTAGTGTTTCTGTATTTGTCATTTCCTTCGGTTGTCTACCAGACGTCGTTGCTCGTTTGAGCGTCTCATGGGTTAGGGGTAGAAGTGCTGGCCTCGCACAGGAAGTGATGACAAACGTGTTCCCGTCGCTCTTATTTCAAACGGTTTACAAGCTGTGATGTGTGTTCCCGCTGCAGAGCAGCCATGACACGTGGCTGCCGGCAGAAGGCTCACGCTTTTCCACTAAACACCCGCAGAGCTACGTCTGCGGTGAACTGAGCAGGGTTTGTTTTACGGTGGCGGATCCGATTGGACCATCGCTGCGAGAAAGCTCCACTTGTGTCAGACGAGCTGAAGGTTCTGATGTTCTGCTCCACAGGCTCTCCTGAAGAAGCACGAGGCCCTGATGTCGGACCTGTCGGCTTACGGCAGCAGCATCCAGGCCCTGAAGGAGCAGGCCCAGTCCTGCAGGGTGAGTTCAGAACCCTCGGCCCGTCAGAACATTCTTATCCACCACGTTCTAACACCAGACCTGTTAACCCGACAGCAACAAGGTAATCAGCAGGTGCTTTTGTCCTGCAGGACCTGAAGGCCAACAAGTCCCGTCTGAGGGACATCAACAAGGTGGCATGTGAACTGGAGTCAGAAGGTCTGATGGCTGAGGAGGCTCCTATGGTTCAGGCTCAGGTGAGCATCACCTGTCTGCAGCAGCTGGTCCCTCTCACTTCCTGGTTTAACTCTGCTCGTCTCTGTTTGTAGCAACAAGAACATCTGGGTTCTGCTCCTGGAAAGGTGCATGTTGTCCTCCGCCTCCACCAGAACCAGACGTGGTGTTTTTGTTACCACTCATTTGTTTGTTTGTTTGTTTACAGGATGAAGCCGACTCTAACACGGCGTCACCCTGGAAGGTGAGTTCATTCAGCTGATCAGAGGTCACCTCTGATGGCAGCAGTCACGGCCGACCGTGCTGACATCACACAGGAATTCAGGTGACCCGGCAGGCACCAGGTGCTGGTGAAAGTGGGGACATGTCAGCTGGTTGCCATGGCTACAGTTATCTTTATGCATCTGTATGACTGCTGACTGGTGTGTGTTTCCTGTGACCTTTGACCTCAGACCGTACGGTTGGGCGTTCAGACGACGGCTAACTTTAATTCCATCAAGGTAAGAGGAAGCTCTTCCCTTCCTGTCTGAGCGATCCGTCTCCAGGTTTCCTCGTCCGGCGTCCAGCCCGCTGGCGTCCACCTTCATCTCACCTTCATCTCATCTCACTTCATTTATAGTGCAATACTTTCACATTATCATTTTCCCACACTTCTGTATAACTGTATTTTGTTGTTTTTCAATAAAGAATGACAAATTATTTAAGTTTGTTTTTTGTTGCACACAAAAATATATCTGTAAAAAATATCTACAAAGCTAATGTTTACATAACAAGTATGATTGGGTTTTGCAATACAGCACTCAAGTTTATTTTAGTAAAATTTTCAAACCAAGTGAAGTTAGTAAAGAACACATTTCTATCGTCTGCTAAGAAACTGTTGGGATTTAAAATGGGCCTGTTGTACAAATAACTTGTAAATGATTATTCCTCACTTTTGTCTTAACCAAAGAAATTCCAGTAATTGAGCAAAAACATTTATTTTTAACACTACATTTTATAAAACAGGGCGCAAAGTGTCGGCACATGTATGTATGTCGATGGTCCGCCCCAACCAAACCAGGAGACACAGACGTCAGGGAGGCCAAGGTTGTCTCTGCAGCTCTCTGGGCACCACGCCTCACTCAGCTGTCTCCAATGATCCAAATGGCTATGGAGGAAAAAATAACAGGTTTGGCCTAGCTGTTTAAAGTACAAAACCATTCATGAAGTGGTCAAGACAAGTACTTGGTACTTACACTTGCTGCTTTGTGTAGCTGACGTTGACACACAGGCTGCCATGGTGACCTTTTAACAGATCTAAGAAAAAAATGTAATAAAAGAATGAAACTTAAAAACTCCCAGACCTCATGTCATATTTACTAATCAGCTATGGCTGATTTATTGTTTGGATCAGAGTGAGTTACACTAATTCTAATATATTTTTATTTCTAATATACATACATACTTTTTAACTGTTATTTTCACATGACTGTTATCAGGCTCTCTTGTTCTGGTTCTGATGATAATTCCGTGTCTTCCAGTAAGTTATCTTGTGCTTACTTCATCTGTATAATGTCTTTTTACTTTTGGTAAATTGTACTGAGTCCAGAATAAAGGCTAGTTGGCTGTACAAAATACAAACAAGTATTACGTTTTGGAAATAAATGAAACACCGCCAGCATCTGTTAGAGCCTGTGGCGGGGTGCTGAGGGCCGGCTCCAGCCCAGGAATGAGCTCTCCACGCCGGCCGGGAGGGTTTGAAACACCGCCATCCTCTCCTCTGCTGGCTGTTGTTCATTCTGTTATGGTTACCGGTGCTTGTGTTGCAATGGGAAACGCTTGGTCTCAGATTTTGTAAGAAAGATAATAAAATGTCCCCCCAAAATACGACTTAAATATATTTTCTCTTCTTCATGATACATTTAATGGCTGGTGCGACTCAGGAGTGATAGCGCCGAAAAAAACTGTACTGAAAACTTGCTCAAAGCAAAATGTTTTCATTACGGAAATAAATTATAAACTTACCGATTTAAAACTTTTTTAATACAGGTACTTCTCACGAACAGGCGCAGAAAACCTCCACCTAAACTATGTGTAAGGTTCAGGTCGATGGGTGTTCCAGTTAGCTCTGGTTGGGTTGAAGCTAGGTGGCTACATCCGTTAGCTCGGCTCCCACCTCCGCTTTAGCTTTGGGTTAGCCAGGGTTAGCTTCAGGTTAGCTCGTAGCTAGTTCGCCTGGGTGTCGTCACTCGAGCCCAGCCTTACAGCCACACCCTCAGCGCCTCCTCTCTTCCCTTTTATGGAATTGTCTGGGCTGGACGGAACCTGTGACACGGTCAAAATGGCGGTGGTGGCCACCTCCCATTATGGACAACAAACGTGTTATTGAAGCCAATGGAATCCGTTTGTCCAGTATGTACAGTCTATGGTTGAAAACAATGTGTCATGCGTTTCCATGGTAATGCATATCAGTGTGTCTGGTGCAGCCCTGTTTATTCATTTAAACACATAACTCATGACATCTTTATTTCACAGATCATTCACCTGATTATTAATGATCAACAAATGCTTTGATTAGCTTATCACCAATAAAGTACTTTGACTAATCAATGAAAAGCGGTCTTCTTCTGTTCTTCTGCCTCTTCTCCTGGAATGTAAACATACGGAACCAAGCGTCCGACCTTGGCGATGGTACTGTGTGAAGGGGCAGCTGTTAAGGGCAGACCATTATAAACTTCATAACGCTACACCTAGAATTATTTTATTTTCCTTTCATGAAGAAACCCGCATATATTGGTACTGGTTTATATTGGAATCAGAAATTAAGAGTATCGGTATAAAAGATAATATCAAATATACCTGCATGCAGCTGATATCCTAACAATGCTGAACCATCCATTTAAGAAGTCTCAGGTGATGCGTTTTGGCGAGAGGCATAAATTGTGCAACCAGTTTATTACCTCCAGCAGGGGGATCACTTGGCTGCTGCAGTTCATTTGTTCTTATGTTTATTGACAGAAGAATTTGTCAAGTTAAAGAATTGTTTTGGGTTTTTTTTCCCCAGGAAAGTCGAGCTATGATGCATGATAAAGGAAATAGCCTTTTTCTCAGACGCTGAGCTGGGAAACACAAGATAAACACTTTACTTTGCAACTCACATTCTGCTAAATAGTATAAAAATGCTATTATTTTATTTCAAATTGAGATTTTTGAAAGTTAACTCGGGTCCTCTGTGGAAGGCCTTGAGTTCAAGTCATGCTGATTTTGACTCGTCTCAAAAGAAATCACTCCTTGCTTTTGTAACGAAGAAATTCCTACATTTAATTGGAAACCATAAAATGTGAAATTTCACAAAGGATGAAATATCACCTTAATGGATCTTTAAGTAAATTTAATCAGGAGATTGGATCTTTTTATTGCAGGGATTGAGCAACACTTCGTATGAACTTCAAGAAAAGAGAGTGAGTCAAGTTTTAAAAGTTTAAAGATTTATTACTAAACAAATTAAAACTCGACTAACTTTAACACTAGGTGTATGGTGTAACTAAGGTGAGGTAAGACTGAGAATGGTGTAGTGTGGAATGTTGTTCAGAACCAGCAAATCCGGAGAAACGATTAGTTCTGTTGGGAGTGAAGATGATGTTTCGCGCTAAGCTTGGCTTGGAGGTTTATAACACCGCCATACGCTTGGCGGAAGTCCCCGTCTAGATCAGGAGGTGTAGAGGTCCAGCTTGGACCTTTCTGGAGCCAAAGCCTGTAGCACAGCTGCGACTGCCGACCAGTCCTGTCTTTGAGATGCTCCCAGGTCACGACAGTTTTATTGGCATCTAGCAAGACCCAAAATGGGGTCGTGATGATTCAGCTTTTATTCTGAAAGGAACCGTTGCAGCAGGTGGAACAGCAACAGATTTTATCCAGCTTGTCGTTGGTTCTTTCGGCTGAAGAGGAAAGTTACGGATTGGCCACTCCAACAACCTCTCTAGAAAGCTTTTAACTCCCGTTAAAGATGACGTGAGCATAGTTTTATAATAAGGATGTTTTGATTTACGGTCAAATCAAAAAGGGGACAGCTTTACCAAGCACCACCAAAACCACACCTCGCATCCGTCCTGGAAGGTTCTGAATGGATCAGTAAAAGCTATCCGTCATGTGACTTTTTAAGCATTACGTGTAATCAGTCTCTAGTGGAAACATTTAAAGTTATATTACTTATTATATTCTATAGGATTATAATATCAAGTAATTAATATTTTCATTACACAGATTGGTTCACATTTTATTATTGACTAACACTTTGTTTGATTAGCTTTATTAAAAATAGAGTTCTTTGATTTATTAAAAAGAAAGAGTCCTTTGTCTTCATTCTTCTCTTGAGCTGGAAAGAAAACAGTTTAGAAGCAGAGCATGAGACCTTGAGCAATATCTCATGCAGATTAGTTCTTGCTGAGGAGAGGGGGGAAATGACTTTTAGGTGGAAAACAGTAATTTCACTCTGTTACACTTTTTAAGCTCAACAAAAGATGAATCCTCACAGTATTTCAAGCATTTTCAATTTACAACAAGAGAAGCAGACAGAAATCAGAAATGTTCGGGTCTTTGTTGAAATCATTTTGTTCAATTTATGCATACTTTGGAGAAAGAGAGGTCATTCAATTGGGAAACAAGCCAGAAGCGAAAGATAAAATTGAAACACAATAAAGACAAATGCTTCCCCTCAGCATTCCTGCATGAAAACTGGAGACAAAACATTTTACAGCCCCTGTGCAGCTAAATACTGGCAATCGCTCACAGTCATAATCATCCCAGCTGTGACAATTGTTTTTTTCTCCAGAGCACATTCATCATATTAAACGATGAGGCTCTTAATGAAAAAAGAACACAGTATTTATAAATTTAATGTTATTGCATGAAGCCACAAAGAAAAGATGCTTTATTTTATTTTTTATTCAACAAATGTTTAATTTAATAATTCTATTGGGCTATAGATTGTTTGTTCAAGGATTAGCTGGCTCGTATTAGAGTTGGCTTTATTTGTGTTAGCTACAGCAAGCTGCAGCATAGTTGTTTATGACAGTTGCAATTCCACTTTCAATCAGTAGGGCAGAGAAGCAAGAAAATGTTTTTCTCTGCTTCTGACTTTGTCAACATGAATAGATTGTTTTCCTGTCCTTCTTTTCTTTCTTGCATGATTTTACTGTTAGGTTTCTAAAACTTGTGTCTTCTTCTGTTTTGCTCCTTGTAGTTTTAAATGAAACTTTAAATTATTTCAATTCAATTCAAAAATACTTTATTAATCCCAGAGGGAAATTGATTGCTGTAGTAGCTCAGAATAATAATAATAATCAAGTTGTCAAAGAGTTGTTGTATATTACAATACAACTTAATGAAAAATTATAATATTTTTATTCTATATTCATTCTTAACAAATTGACATTATTTAGGTTTACCTTCTCTTTCTGACACATGAGCACTGCAGCTCTCTATATAATTTACACACTTACGAAAGCAGCATCTGCACCCACATATAGATCTGTTATTCTGCTTCAGCACAATTGCAGAGAAAACAAAAATGATTCTAAAGTGAATTTGTAGCCAAACAAGCTGTCTTCAGGGGTTTTCCCCTTACCAGTTTAATAAATGTAAATTTCAAGATGCAGTGATGCCTTCAGGTTATAAAAATCCATGTTAATTAATCCAAACCTAATGTTTTACTGCTTTAATTATGCAATCATCCCTGACACAAACTGAGTTTCAGGGGTTCAAATGAACTTGAACCATTAAAAATAAAATATGACGGACAGAAAAGTTGCAGCTCCTAAGAGAGGTGTGAAACTTGGAGGTGAGCTCTTGATTGGCAAAAGTCTCATCAGTATTCTGGTGTGACCATGTTTGCTTCCGCTTCCTCTCTGTGGTTTGCAGGATGAATTTATTCTGATCAAATCTCTACTATCTCATTCGTAAATACTCTGATTTATGAGCACACAATGGCATCTGACCACTCTCTGCCACTCTGTTTTCATGTGATCTTTTCTTTCTGAGTGGATCAAAACATATAAATGCAAAAAATACCAGTTTGAATAGTTTTAATCACATTTTAACTAAATGCTCACTGTTTTCTCAGCATGGATCACAGCAGTGTTCACCCTGTGATTTTTGACTAATTTAGAACATTTCCCAAAGGTTTGCCATGCCGTTTGAATGAACACTTTTACATCACAATTTCCAACCCAATTTGCTCACAATCTCACATGAGTCCTACTTTTCACTGTTGATGTTTGTTCAGAGAAAAGCTAAAAGAAATGTCTCATGCACTTCCAAGTTTAAAGAGACAATGTGTAGTTTTTACCATTAATCTCTGGAAATATCCCTTGAAATGTTGTAAATGAATTCAAAGATACCCAGTTGTTGAAAAATGTTTGCGGTTTTGTAACATATAACCATAAAAATTGGGTCTAAAACGCATTGAAACGGGTCAGAGGGTGATTCTCAATGTCAAGGCGCCTGGCCTTGCTTACGAGTAGCGTTGGGTACCGAATTCGGTACTTTTTAAGGTACTGACCGAATTCCATAGTACCGACTGAGCACCGATTCACGTCATTTGAAACGGTGCCTCATTTCGGTACCCGGCCTTCATAACGAGAACTTGCCTAGACAGCTGTGCATGCGCAAGAGCGTTACGTCGGTCACTGAGAGCGAGTTGTAAACAGAGCAGCATGGTAGAAAGAATGCACGCTAAAGCTTGGGTCCACTTCACTAAATGTGATGGGTAACTGGGTGATGATGAAACCAGTGACAACGATCTAAGTGAGACATCCTCATCTTAATCTGCTCCGGCTAGTAAATAAAATGTTTAAGATAACGTTAGCTTGATATGTTAGCTTCCGTTCCGCTAATGGTGCGTTCGCTTTCTCCTCAGAACTCCAAATTTCCGAATAGAAGAACGTGAACACGCTTTAAAGTTTGGCTTCACTTTACTAAATGCGACGGGTGATTGGGTGAAGATTAAACCAGCGACAACGATCTAAGTGTGAGGCATCATCGTTTTAATCTGCTCCAGCAGCTAAATAAACTGTTTAAGATGATATTAGCTTGATAAATTAGCTTCCATTGCCACCATTGTTATCGGCTAATGGTGTGTTTGCTTTCTCCTCGGAAATTCTCACTTCCCAGTAGGAAAAATCAAATGAAAAAGGACGGCAAAAGGAATGAAGATACACAGTAAATTTAGTTCACAGTAAAGATGTTTGCTTCAGTTTAACAGTTGAATGTTATTTATCGTGATATTTATCAAATACGGTTATATATTGAGAAAAATATATATTTAATTATAAAAGAGAATTAAAATATTAAACACTCAAAAGTATCTAAAACTTGTACCGTTAAGTACCGTTATCGATTCCTAGGTACCAGGAATTAGTACCGAATCAATTCAAATGTCAAAGGTACCCATCCCTACTTATGAGGACACTGTACTTCCTTGGTCAAAGAAAATGGTTAAATGGTTCAGACTTGCATGACATGACCGCGCCTTCCACAGCGGTCACGTAACGTCATGTGACACAGAAAATAAGGTTATATTTTATACGTATTACTTTCAATATAAATATATTACGTTCTTGTCAATTCAAGATCTGGAAGAATTAAATTCAATGCATATGGACTTTTATGGTGTTGGGGAGTCAACAACTGACTTAATTAC